TGCAGAAGGGTCTAGGCCCGAAACGTCAGCTTTCCTGCTCCTCTGATGCTGCTTGGCCTGCTGTGTTCATCCAGGTCTACACATTGTTATCTCAGATTCTCCAGCATCTGCAGTTCCTACTATACATGATATTGTTCATCCAGATGAATTTAGTTCTTAGAGAAATAACATTTTTGACCGTAACATTTCACGTCAGCAACTAGGGATGAAGTCTAGTTTTGACATATGAGATGACAGGGACACAAAGGTGGAGAAAAGGCAGGAGATAACCCAGCCAGTGCAGACACCTTCGGCCAAATGGCCTCCTTCTGACTGTAACAATTCTGAGTGGCAATTTTGAATGGCTACTGTGGAGTGGAAAATCTGTGTGTCAATGTTCCTGAGAAGGTGGTGAAGAAACATTGTAAAGGCAGCAGAGGGGAATATCTGACGAAAACTCTGGATGCAGGAAGTAGGAAGTTGTGTCACACATTATTGTACCAAACATTTGCAACATGTGTTAGAGGAAAACTGCAGCCATTAAAAGATTTTTTTTTTGGAAAGGAGGGTTCATCAACCTGTTCAGACATTTTATGACACACTAGCATGGCCATCACATCCCAAGGCGAGACTTGAAACCAAACCTCCTGGTCCAGAGACATTATCACAGCACTATCAGATGCTGTGGCTATTTTTCTAAAATCAGCCAGTTTGCACATTACACACGTCAAGGAGCCAGAGATGACACACCTGTCTCCATCACAGTTTCACGCTCGACTGCCAGAGACTGATTCAGACTGACATCATCAGATTGGGAGGAGCTTAATATAGCATCAACATTAACTCTTTCAGAATCATTACCTTTTATAACAGGGTACTTCACTACCAAGCACAGACATCCCTCATTTATTTACACCCCCAAAATTGAAAGATTAATCTGAGAGAAGAGACACTCTATCCAAAAGCAAACACAGGATGATGAAAAGTGGGACATTGATCTGCAATTTTCATATCTATATGAAAATAGCCATGGCCCCAAAATATATATAGATGACAGACTAGCAGAATGATAGTTCCTGCCTAATAAGTGCTTGCAAAGCAAACTGGTGTCTTTTGCTAAATTTTTTAAAAGCCCTGTTTGTTTACAGCCAGAATATCATTAACATGGAGTGAACAGAGTCAGCAGTTGATTAAGCTGAATGCAGTTCATTATCCTTTTCATGACCATATATGACAAGAAATATCAGAAATGGATTCCATAAATCAGAATAAGACCAACATGGGATTAAAGAATCAATGTGTTCACTGAATCAGCACTTGCACTTTCAAACTAAGCACCAGTGGACAAAAACGGAAAACCCTCTATTTTTCCTGATTATGAGATACATCCACACACTTTATGATGTAACATTTCTGTTGTTCAATGCTTTATTCATCCGAGGCTGTTTCAACAAAAAGAACTACTTATGGCAAGTACAACCAAATGTTGTTAGTTACTTTAGGGGTTAAATAGTCTGGCTACATTAAGACTGAAAGGCTTGGCATTGGTACAAAAGATTAACTCACAACCATATAAACACCAAGTTAGACTGGAATTTGTCACTTCAGATTTAATTTCAATTAGGCATCCTTCTTGAATACTGTTCTTCTGTTCTCATTATTTTTCAACATTCATCATGATAAAGTCATTCCTTTTTATAGATTTTCCTCCATATTTCCTTAGCAATTTTCCTGAGACACCTTACTGCAGTAGTATTGTCAGCTATGATCAAAACACAAATGACTATACTTCTTCCAAAAGCATTTCAGGGAAGGTAACAGAACTATTGCATCATGATGCAAATGGGTTCACACATCATAGAAAAATGAAACATACAAATTCTCTTATCCCTTTACCAGATGCCAGTGCTATCAGTGGGACAATCTTCTAGGTTTCGGGTTTGAAATAACAGGAACATATGAACTCCAGTGCAAAATCAGTTTACGAACAAGTAATTAATTCAGGGAAGGGTGGATTCACAATTAAACAATATTCCCTGGGTAGTTACCTTCCAGAGAGAGACTGGGTGACTAAAATGAGCAATATGAACCCATGTTTCATTCCAATATATTCCACACTAAACTTAAGGTACCAAAGGATTTGCACAATGTCACCTTTGACTGGGTGACACATGCTGTAATAGCACTCAATTATAATGATTCGGTATTTTTATCATTGAGAAATCATAAATGTGCGAAACTTGCAGTGATTCACAAAATGAGAAGTGGATTGGTCCAATCAGAAAATATATGAAGTGGAATTCCCTGAAAGGCTGAGAAGAAGAGTTCTTGATACCCTGAATTAAAACTACGTCATTGTGGAATTATTCTTTACGCTATAATACCGCTGTGGTTGATTAATGGAATCAGATACTATCCTATCTTTTAGGACTCAACCCCATCCTGCTTCCTCCTCTACTGCATCCCCAGGAAACTTAAATAAAAAAGCAGGAAAATGACGCACACGCTGTCTGTTTGACAACAGAGCAGAAATTACAAAGAAAATACATTTTTTGATGTTGCCCTTTGCTAAAAACTGAATTATAGAGAAAAGGCCAGGACTAAAAAACATAATTGAAATAAAACTAACATGGTTAAGAAAACTAACAGGTCTGGCAACAACTGTGGAGAAAGAAATAAGTTAACATTTTGAGTCCAAACGACTACTTCAGAACTGGATACTCAGCAACTGAAATACTACTACTAATTCCAAAACAATACCATCTGCTCGAGTAAAACTAGTAATTTCACTGTATGTGAATCTATGAGTCAAACTAAAATAACCTGAAATTCTGGTTGTGTTGATGTTGTCAGCCATTCAGACAAAAGGGCAAATCCATTTAAATAATGCTCGTGATAAGCCGGAGCTCCAGACTCTGAAACTCTCAAATGCTTTGGGATTTCAGACTGTAACTTGGAAGTACTAAAAGGACATCAGACTGCATTGTCAACATGGTGGGCCGTATAGCACTTGTCCGGAATCAGCAGACTAAGCAGAAAAAGAAGAGTCCTGACGTTTTCCAGACTTAACTCACTGTTTTGCAAAGTTTTTGACTGTACAAGATCAGGCCATTGTAAGGTGGGCACTGAAATTTAGTCAGTATAAAGCATTTGCTGTTTTTTTCTGTGTTTTGATTTCTGAATTATTTTGACAGACACCACATTTGAGGGCAAATGGATTACAGAAAGGCCTCCAGGACTATGTCCAAGCTTTGCTTAATGCAAATCGGTGGGAAGATCTCCTGCAACTCAACTCATCATGATTTAATTTTGATGACACCGACATAATTACACATCACCCTCATGTACTTAAACAAAATGTTACCTTTTCTTCCTCACAAATTTCGTCCCACTCCCATCAAAAGAATTGACTCCTTGTTAAGAATAGGATACAGACTCACTCAGGTCAAATACCCTGGAAGCAACTTGCAGGGAGCCATTACTTGTACAAGAGATACTGAGTTCCTTATTATAGGGAAAGGAAGAAAGGCAAATATATCACCTTGGAGCCTGAAACTGTTCTGAGTCAAAAGTTACATATAAGGTCTATCAACAGGGATCACTGGATAGCAATCAGGAACAAGGAAAATAACAATCTAACCTGGAGGACACCAAGTTCAATTGCAAAATCTGCTAAGTCAGCACAGACATTCACACTTGCCTGTTTTGCTATCCCTTAGATAAACTATTCACAGAACATTCTCACACTAATATACCCTAAAAATAAAACATTCTCATGCTAATGTACCTGAAAAATAAAACATTCTTACACTAATATACCCTAAAAATAAAACATTCTTACATTAAGTATTTCATACTGTTTCTGTAATAATCAAAGCAGCAATTACTTATTTACAGAATATTCCACTTTTAAAAATCGCTTCAGGGCAGTATTTGATAAAGCTCATGAACTAATGTGTAATGAAATACTTGTCGGGTATCAAGATGATTTTCTGGAATGAAACCTGACACACACTGCGATTCTTGTCTGACTTGTAGAAAAATCTTCGCAGAAAATTGACTAGTGAGTTGAAAAAGCAGAAATATCACAACAGCAGCTAGAACTGCAGCTGCTGGAGTCAGAGATAACACAGAGTGGAGCTGGAGGAACACAGCAGGCCAGGCAGGTTCAGAGGAGCAGCAGAGTTGATGCTTCAGGTGAAGAAGGGTCCCGAGCCAAAACGTCAACATTCCTGCTCCTCTGATGCTGCCTGGCCTGCTCCACAGTTATCACAAACATCACAAATTGCTTAATAATGGTAATCCATGATGTTTTTGCAAGAGGTGCTAAGTTTTCACTGAATAGGTAAATCATTGTAAATGTCAATCAAATGTGACGAATAATTACCGAGATCAAGGGAAGTTTTGATAACGTGGTAAGATACAAGGCTAACTTGAAGAATGCTATACTCTTCTTCCAGAGATGCCATGTCTTACAGCATTGACCATTAGAACTCTCCTCACTGTACATGAGAGCAGCCAACATCCTGGTGTTGTTCTCAGCCACAGTACCCACTCTGCCACAAACTGCTGGACCACCTCCTTCTTTGTCTCCCTCTTGTTCTGCTGCTTTCAATTTTGTCAGTGACTCCAAGATGATCTGGTCAGGCCCAACTAAGTACATGCACAAAGAATTATAGCTGTCACTTGGTGATCAGCTTGTGCACCTTCAATTCTCAGAACATTCTCGATCAAGATGTGTGTGTTGCCCAACTAATCTTCATCATACGTCTTAGAGATAATTATTCCTGGAACTTGTCTTTTATTGCTTTGCTTATATTCCAACTTTTATAGCCACATAATAAATGGTGAACAGATCTAGCATCTTTGTAATTGATGTTAAAACTTTCGCCTGTTAATATCATGTCGGGTTTTCTGATTTTTAAAGTGTGTTCAAAAATAATAAACAGGATCTTGAAGCTTTTAAATGAAATAATAATTTATTCAGTTGAAAATGAATAGTCTTCTTCAGTTCTCTACCCAAAGCAAGGTCCAATCCACAGAATCACAGAGCTATATTTTGAACAAAGGACTACTTTGACAGATATCACTCTGTATTATAGAATCACAGAATGATACAGCACTCCAGACAAGCCATTTGGCCTGTCGTGTCTGTAACAGACCCTCTGCAAAAACAGGACTGCTCGACCCACTCTTCTGCATTTTCTGTGGCCCTGCCTCATTTTCTCTCATCAGGTATTAATCCATTTCTCAATTCAGACTCACACAATTGTTGCAGCACAGGAGGTGGCCTATTGGCCTGTTGCATCTGCACTAGCTCTCCAACCCCACCTCCACCCTGCCTACTCCCCATAGCAGCGCACATTCTCATTTTTCAGATAATAATCTAAATTCCCTCTTGAATGCCTTTATTGAGTCTGCTGTCATCACTCTCACATTCCAGATAGCACTTGCTGCAGAAAAACGACTTTCCACATGTCAAATCATGTAAATTATTGTTCTCTGGTTCTTGATCTTTCCACCAGTTGAAACGGTTGCTACTTGCCTACACTGACTGGATCCCTCATCAACGACAACTGTCCTGAATTCCTGAAGAACCCGGAGTCCTAATAGATGTGACTAATTAATTTCTTCTTTTAAAAATTCCATTTAACTTGCGTCACCCCATCAAACTGGAGAGGTGCTGAAGTCATCACCGTTGACAAGCTGGGGAAACCTGCCACTGACCCAGTTAGTAATCTGCTCTCATCTCATTTAAGTACTTTGTCAAACTATTTGAGAATCTACTTCCAGTTAGGTACTCTCCACTGGTACGACTGCACTGTCCAGTTGGGATTTAGACTCATAAGGCTGCAAGATGTCATAGGCAAAAATAAGCTACCCACTCATGAATTTAAATACCACTGTCAAATCTCCTCTTAGTCTTCCTTTTTTCAGTTTCTATAATTGTACTGTATATTTAGTTATAATAATTAGATTGCTGGCATAAATTATTTTTAGTTCAAATACAAGTCTTTACCTGTACTTGAAAGATACGGATATCAGGTCCGTATAGTTTCATTTCTTCAGGAAAATACTGGAAGGCGTTCAGATATGGTATCTGTCGTTCTGAAACAAATCTATTTCAAACAAATAATATATCTTTTAAGAAAAGTAACTGAATAGACTACAGAATACAGTAAAGAGTTGCATTCCCAAATACTTATTTCATGTAAAATGATGACCGACCTTAGAGATATAAATACATTCAACTAACATCTATCATCCTACTGTTGGAAAATGTTATTGATTTAATTGGTTAAGGGATAGTCAAAGTATCAGGATAATTTTCTAGAACAGTGATCGGCCATCAAGAATGAAGCATTTGCAAGTGCATGTATACCAACAGATAAATATGGGAAAAGGAGAAAGATAAAAAAGTTCTGAGGGCTGAAGTAGATTAATGAGTTAAGCCAGATTTGGCTACGGAGGTATTTGAATACAAGAACAAGAACTTTAAATTTAACGTACCTTTCTCTTCCAGGGACCTACGTAGGTTCATGAACACACGGTGATGGATGATCAGGATAGCAGTGAGTTAGGATATGGCTAGCAAAGTTTTGGATGAGCTGAAGTTTACAGTGGAAGGAAGATGGGGGTGCAGCTCAGGAGAGCATAGCCCGCTTGGATTCATAAGCAACAACCTCTTCATTTCCTGAGGTCGATGGTTTCTACCTAAACATTCACATTCAGAAGCAGTTCAGCAACTGGGAGCAAATCACATAGTTGCTGGCAGGCAAAAGGCCTTTGTCGTTGACAATGCGTCACTATTTCCTGAGACCAATAAGCCACTCGTCATCAGTTGAATCTCCATTCGTATGTACCCCTTGGTTTCTGCTCAGCAGCAAACAGACATCCCTCCATTGCTTGAACAAGCAACAGTGTAAATAGCTCTTACAATCAATGCCAAATAACTTGCTTTTCAAAAGTGCAGCAATCTTTTCCACAACCTTCAATTTTTAAAACAATCCTTTTCCCATTTCAGTTCACAAACAAAAACACAAGAAATAAAAAGATACAGTGCTTACAAGGGTTGCAATTTCATGATTGCTACTTGTAAGGAAGTTTTAGATTGCTGGATCAGTATAATCCTTAGCTAATACAAAACTAATTAAATGTGTATCTTCACTTGAAATCAGATTGCAGAGAGGATGCATTTGAATACAGGGAAGGATTCAAGACTAAAAGACTAAAGAAAAGTCTAAAACACGGAACAGAGAGAACCACAATATCATGGACAAATGGGAGGTGCACGGTTAAAGACAGTAGGTAGCCAATTAAGCTTATAAGAGGGTGTAGCATACAATGTAGGGATAAAATGGTGTTGTTTTATCAAAGAAACAAATTTTATCAGAACATGTTTGAAAAATACTGCAAGTCATGAGTTATCGAAAAGAGACAAAGATGTCTTAACATTTTGACATGCAATCAGGATCACAAGCCAAACTTAACTGATGGGTAAAACCCACGATTTGCTATAGAATTTCAAGAACAACGTGGCATTTTAAATTTAAACAAGAGAAATGCAAGATATCAAAAACAATTATTGCAAGTGACTTCAAAGTCACCACATGAGACAACTAGACTGGATAAAATAAGTAGATGAACATGGATGTTTTAATGATTCAAATGGTTAAATAATTTACAGGCAAGAAGTACTTTTAGATTTAATAACATGGAGCAGTAAGGCTTGGTGAGAGGTTGGTTTGAGAGCATTTTGGAAACAGTAGTCACGTTATAATTGAGCCTAACATCAGTCTAACAGCGGAAAGGTGAAAGAATAGAACAAAACGTCTTAGCATTGAAAAGGTGAGTTTTGAGGAAACAAGGAAATGGGGAGACAGACTAAAACATATTTAGAGGAATTGTATGAAATAAATGTGGAAACTATACCTCTGAGTCAATCATGATTTTCAAAGATTTTTATACTGCACATTAATTTATAGGTCCTCCTGTGGAACTTTCTACAGTTTCTGTATCTCTCACCAGTTGACAGGATCATAAATAGGTGCCCTAAATGTTGCTTAACCAAGGTCTTGGAATAACAGTGCAAATGAATATTTAGACAAAAACTAACTGAAAATAATGGGCGTGAGAGAGAGATGAAAATATCAGATTGTGAATGATCTCAAGTTTAGAGACGGTACTAGGTCAGCAAAGACACAATCCTATTTTAGTAATAGAATTATACATTGTGCATCGCATAATGAGATATCTCTGGTCTTAAAGAAGTATAATATCTGACTTATCGGTGAATAATGCCACAAGACATCCGTTAACTTATTCAGGAAGAAGAGTCAATAGTTGATGCAGTAAACTTACTTAATAAATGCGATACAACATCAGAAAAATTGAAACTCAAATGCCGCTGTCTCACCGTAGGAGGTCTGCAAGAGTGATTGATTCCCGAAGCCAAAGCAGTGCCAGATAGCAAAATGCCAGTGTCAAAGGCATAGACATCAGCAGATCTTTACGGTAAGTAGTTCGTCGATATAGGCTGCCATCAATAGATCCTGACCGTATAGATGTTGCTTCATCCTCTGAGAAAAGGAGGCATATCACAATACTTGCATAGAATCCTTTTATTTTCAATCTTTGAAACACTCCCTTATAATTCTTTCACCACCTTTTTAGACAGGTTCCCCTGGTTTGCCTCAACACCTCACTTTAGCAAGACAGCTGAAATTAGGATTAGGCAGTTCAAAAAACAAATCACCAACATTTATCATATGATGCTTAATGAAGCTGCAGAATAATGTTGCCTCATATTCAAAAAGCATTACACTACATTGCATACATTGCGTTTTCTATTTCCAGCTTTTAAAAAAATTATAGCGCTATGATAATAGAAAACAGCCAACCCGTTTCCAGGCTTCTTCCGTTACACAACTTAAATTAGCATTTGACTGTGTAGAATATTATGGATGCAAAACAGTCTACACTAATCTGGTGAAACGTAGTTGGTACGCCAACCTGCAATTCACTTGGACTGCCTCACATCTAGATTTCCCTTTACAACAATTTACCACTGAACATCGTGCCTTTACTTGATGGGAGTTTAGAAGGATGAGGGGGTGATCGGATTGTAAGTTTACAGAGTATTGAGTGGCCTGGATAGACTGGACGTGGAGAAGATGTTTCCAATAGTAGGAGAGACTAGAACTCCAGGGCACATCCTCAGACTGAAGGGACGACCCTTTAGAACTGAGATGAGGAGGAGCTTCTTCAGCCAGAGGGCAGTGAATCTGTGGAACCCACTGCCACAGAAGGCTGTGACAGCCAATTCAGAGATAGATAGGTTCTTGATTAGTAAGGGGATCAAAGGCAATGAGGAGAAAGCAGAGAATGGGGTTGAGAAACATATTAGCCATGATTGAATGGTGGAGCAGACAAGAGGTCAAATGGCCTAATTCTGCTCCTATGTCTTATGGTCAATGCTTATGACTCGAGATTGACTTCAGGACCCTCTTGTACACAGTAGAATTTGTTTTTTAAATTAACTACAAGAACAAATGTTGAAATGGGTTGAATGAATTTACCATAGGATGATGTCCCAGTATCTGATCATCGTACATTAATTTATTACTACAAACAGTATCACACATAATTGCACTTGGTCTCGTCATCAGTGTCATGACACCCTGTGCCAAACAGATGTCTGTTAAAATCGGTCATCGACATGAACTCGAGCACACGTTATTGAAAATTAAGAAAATAAAATGGCAATGACTTCAAAGAGGTGATTGCAAAGTGCATGGCTACAGAATGGGATGATAAGAGAATAGGTGTGTAAGAAAGGTGTTGTGATTTTATGCCGGAAAAAGGAGGAGGAATAACGAAACACTCTCACCTGAAGCGAATGATTAAATGGTCTAGCTTGAAAACAATACAATGTTACAAAATCATTAAATATGGACAGAGACACATACCTGATACAACAGCATCTTTGGTTAATTGAATACTACTATCTTGAGCTTCAGGATCACTTTCTGTTAATGAAGACCATGAAACATCTGAGTTGGTCATCAATTCTGATGAATCAGAAACCATCTCTGAAACCTGTTTTAAACACAAAGTCAAAGAGTCATACAGCACGGAAACTGACCCTTCAGTCCAACCAGTCCATGCCGACCATAATCCCCAACTAAACTAGTCCATCTGCTTGTGGTTGGCCCATATCCCTCCAAACATTTCTCATTCGTGTACTTATCTAAATGCCTTTTGAATTTTGTAACTGTAGTCAGATCCACCATTCCCTCTGGAAGTTCATTCCACACACGAACTACACTATGTAAAAAAAAAAAAAAAAAATGCCACTCATGTATTTTCTAAAATCTTTTTCCTCTTACCTTAAAATATGCTCTCTAGTCTTGTAAACCCCCACTCTAGTCTTTCAAGACACCTGCCATTCACCTTAACTATACCCCTTATGAACCTCGATAAGGTCACCCCTCAAACTTCTAACCTCAGTGAAAAGAAGT